GGAGAAAATAAAAAACAACCTAGTTTAGCCCATCATCCTCTCAAGGACGAGGAGTTTATAAAAATAAATAGCCTGTATAGAAGCGGCAAATCTCATAATCTTGTAATTTTGATGTTGGCTCTTGAACTAGAAACCATGTATTAGTTAATACCCTCTTCACTCCAGCCGAGAAGAATTTTTATTTTATATTCCTGATGATCATCGTTATACTATGTAATGCAGTGATTCAATCGCCCCATTTCTTACTGGTATCATTAAATTGTTATAAATTGTGAAAATCAACCATACAAATGATGGCTTGATCTAAACTAGGATGGCAGAGGAAATCTGGAGATTGAACCCAGATGAAGTGAATTCTTGCATGACAGCAGTAGTTTCCCTCACAAGATCACTGGCTTGATTCGAGCCCTTCATTAAATTGTGATAAATTGTTAAAATCAACCAGGGATTGCTTGATCTACAGTACTAGGATGGCAATGGCAAATGAATGGAGGAAGCATCAGGTCTCATCCTGTCTTTTCAGATGTCGAAGCGAGATGCAGTTGAATAAATTATGGAAAATCATGTACATTAGCACAAATCTAATCCATGGCATCAGGCCCAAAGCATTTCCTTTTCACAAGGTTCCATACCCATTGCACCAGGAACCTCCTCCCTTGCATCCCCTTTTTTCACAGGGGTTCCATACCCGCTGCTGCATCTGTTTTTTTTTTTTAAAAAAAAGAGAGGATGTGAGAAAGGTATATCACAGCTGCATTTGATAGAATAAATGGTAAGTAGGAAATAAAATCCAAAGTCAGCAATAGATTACAAATGATTTGAATCCAATTACAGTCAAGAGGCATATGAAACATATATACGGTGCTTAACACAGCATTGAATGAAATCCTCCGTGTAAACAAGGTTTACATCTTATTTTACGATAGAGTATCTTCTCTCAAAACCTTACCAAACACCAAAGCAAATAATTAATACACTCAGAACCAAATCGGCACTTTACCAAACTCTGAAGTAGCTCTGAAGTATCTTCTAAGACCAAACTGTCAAACACGGACCACAAGCAACCATGTCATAACCAAAACAACCCAATGAATGGTTAACAAAATCTTCCATTTGATTCCAAAAATAATATCACCTGGAAAATCTTCAAATGCACAAATTAAATATATCATGTAATGGTAAAATAACCAAAACAAGAATTATTAAATAAAAAAAACAAAGTTAATTAACTTGTATCTCTTTTTTTCCCATGAAAAAATGGAGAGCAGAAAATAGATTTGTTAAAAAATAAAATTAAAATCTCTACGAAATTGAATTATTAAGAATTAACACTGGCAGAAGAATTTACCTACTCCCAGTTCAGAAAAATAAATGTTCGGGATATGAGAAACCTTGTGCCAATCTTCACCCATCTCCTCCTTCCCGTAACGTTTCATTAGATTGTGGCAACCACTTATGCGTAATGACAGTAGAGGCACTGCCAAAACATAGTCTGGTGGTGCTCTCAACAACGGGCAATTGATAATTTCCAAATCTCGAAGTTGTGGCATAATGGATATTATTGAAGTTGTGTTGGCATCTTCTTCTCCCTCTCTCCTTTCAATTCCATCCCACTCTTCTACTTCTTCGAGACTCTCAATCCGAAGTCCTTTTAATTTCTCCTTCGTTAACACTTTTTATACCTATAAATCCAACATCCAACCCTTTCAAGCTCACAAAGCATGACATCTTGAGTTTATTTTTCATGAATTATGTTTGTATTTTGACAAATCCAACAATTATGATTTGATTTAGTTGTTTCTGGTTAGGGGACGCAAAGTGGTGTCTTTTATAAAAATAAAAAAAAATAAAAAATAACAGAGAGAATGCTAAAGAGAAAGTCACAGCTGCATTTGATGGAATAAATGGTAACTAGGAAATAAAATCCAACTCAAGAATAGATTACAAATGAGTTCAATCCATTTACAGAAAAAAGGTATATAAAATATATGGTTATTAATACTATTGGTCTGAACTCTGAAGAATCCTATGTCTGGAAGTTCTTTGAATGGGGCTATGATGGCATTTAGAAAGTACAGGTGCTAGGGGGTTTGCCTTTCACTAGCAGAAATCATATTTATTGTTGAAGATATTTTGTGTTAGGTTTAGATAACTTTATTTGGATTTAATCCACAAAATCGATGGGTATCATCTCGTATAGATGAATGGTTTAGCTTTCAAGTCTACCATTCTCTCATTTATTAGGATTTAATCCACTGAAACTGAGGTTTAAGAATTTCTTGTTGTGAATTGCAGAAAACAGTTGCTTGATCTTCACTAGGATGGCAATTGCAAATGAATGGAGGAAGCATCGGGATCAGTGGCTTGTTTGAAGGCAGATAGACCCTTTGATAGTTAGATGATGCCTTTAGATGAGAAAGGATGTGAGAAAGGTATATCACAGCTGCATTTGATAGAATAAATGCCAAGTAGTTTGTTTTTTTAATTAAGTACTTCAATTTGGCAAAGATAATTATTAACTGATACGCTAAAAGTGGGGAAGAAATTACTGTAGCTCTCCCCCATCCTTTTTTTTCTTATTATACTTTTTTAATTTTTATATTTTTTAGGGCATTTTAAAATATGCTATTTTTTAAAAAAAAAATTATTAATTTTTTTAATATTAAAATTATTAAAAATTATAACTGTAAATTTTTTTATAAAATACTATAGATTATTACAGTATTTTCTATTTATTTTCTTTAAATTTTTTATTATAATTTTTTATAATAAAAATTTATTTATTTTATTTTTTAAATAATAATCTGGTCAATGTGTCAACAAACCCATTAAGGCGAGAGTTGGTGAGTGCTGACCATTCCTGGTGGCCCTACTAGCTAGTGACTGGTGCTCGGTGAGGGCCCTCGGATGGGGCCAGTGGGCTGCCGGTGGGAGATGTTTTCCTTTGACGGTAAATTATGGTAGAGTTTCCTTGCAACTCTTTGGAAATGAAATTTTCAATTTGTTGAGATTTCCATGCAATTCTTGGAAAAATAATTCTTTGTTTTTGATGATTTAGAGATGATGGATCCTTGATGATTTAGAGCAGTTTGTAATTGCGTTCCAAGAGTTTCACGCGATTTTAAATTTTTGTTTTTGTTTTTTTTTAAATAATTCTAAGATACTATTATAAAAATATTTTTTAAAAAATTAAAATAATATTATTTTATATTAATTCAAGTTAACTAAATTAATCTGTCAAATTAATAATCTGAGTACTATATCAAATAATAATGATCAAATAAAATTTAATAACTTCGTGTAAAAATGAATTTGAATTTGTTATAGTGTAACATTTTATAGTATTTAAAAAGATTTAAATATTTTTTTTTCTTATAAATAACTAATCATTTTGGCACATGCATTCACTTCATTTGCATAATATAGTATTTGGTAATAAAAAAAATTGAGAACATAATGCAAATATTTCATAAAATTTGAAAAAAGAAATCATTAAAGTGAAACTATTTATTTTTTGAATACTCTTCTTATGTGTGGACATTTGAGAAAACAATTATTTTCAATAACAACTTATCATAGTCAAATTTCATCCACATATTTAACATGGAAAGGTGCCTTTTATTTTTGTAAAAAATCATTTCCTATAATAGTATTCCATCCTAATACAAGAGTTTGGAGGTTTGATATAATATAAATATGAATCACATTAATTGTTAAATTACATCCTAATAACTGAAATCCTTTTCTTTTGAGTTTTATGGACCTGACCAAGGAACATTAATCATGCAGGAAGAGCAGCCTCCATGCCCTTATGCATTGTTCTGATTACAGTGGTAACCTGTTCAATTTGATCTTCGCTTGAGCATGCTGATAGAAGTACTTTGGCAGTTCCTCCATCAGGGTGACATCCAGCATCAATCATTTCTTCAAAGATTTCCAAGCATCTTGCGTATAGTTTCTTTCTAGAGTAGGCTCCCAATCTTGAAGTCCAAGTCACAACATCAGGTTTCAGATTTTTGGTTGGAAGTGATTGGAAAATACCTTCCATTCTCTCGAAAAATCCTGCTCGTCCATATATGTTGATTAAGATGTTGTATGTACTGATATCAGCTCCATAAGGTCCCTTTTCCATTGCAGTCAGAACTTCCTCCATCTTTCCAAATTGGCCAAGCCGGCCATACAAGTGCATCATGCTGTTGAGGACAAACGTGTCTGGTTCAAGCCCAGATTCGCACATCTGGTTAACAATTTCTTCGCATTTATCCACTTTCTTGCTCTCGAGTAGGCACAGAGAAGTAGCATGTGTGATTTCATTGTAGGGGTTATTCCTAGTCGCTTCATCTCATTGAATACTGCTTGAGCATCTAAAAATCAAATAGGAGCAGCCAAATCATTAAGCCAAAATTACGAGGAGCATATACGAAAAACAAGAGGAACTTCTTCCAAGTAGGAAAGGTGTTGCAAATGGATGAAATGCTGATAGCCTGATAATATCTCATACAACTTTATCTTGTTTCCTAGGAAATCTTAGAAAGATTATGGCAGATCTCCAGAATAGAATTGAACACTGTTCCAAAATATAATCCAAATGTTGCAATATAGATCCCTTCAAGTTCGTAGTTGATCCGAACGTTTTTAAACCATTACATGCTCCAACTGTTCCCAAATTCTCAAAGCTCAATCTTTCTCCAATTCTCACTTATTAAAGTACATTGATATTATTTGGTTCAAGCATCTTACCCTCATGAAGACCAGCTCTCCCATACGCATCTACCATGATGTTATATGAAGCTCTATCCGGCTCGCAGCCCATGTGCTCTGCATGAGTGAAAATATTTCTGCAGCCCCGTAAGGAAAACCTGCACGGCTGTCAGGACAAGATAGTTAAATATCATCAGTTTTATTGGGAATCTCTTGGAAGCAAGAAGCTGCACCTCCAGTATTCTTTTTTATTTTCTTTGAAAGATTATTGAAACACCCTATCATTCTATGATACTAACCTGTAAGCTTCCATGAGCGCATTGTAAGTATACACATCAGGCTCAAGCTTATCTTCTTGCATCTGCTCAAATATTTCTTCTGCCTTCTCACAGAGTCCCTCTCTAGCAAACGCGTTCACCAGAGCTGTGTATGTGCAGATATCTGGTCTGCATTTTTGACTTCTCATTTCGTTAAACAACTTCAAGGCCATGTAAGATTGACTTGCCTGTGTACAGGAAAAAGATTAGCAAAATGAGTTTTTAAGGATCCTAAACACCACTGCTGTCCAGGGTTATCAGAATTAATAACCATATCTTTGAATTTAGTCTGATAATTGTTTGGAATTGAATGCATATATTTCAAGTTGTTTGTTGCATCACTGTAGACTCGTAGACGTACGAGTTATGCATAATTTTCTACTGGGACCAGTGGTATTTCAAGAAGATCAGATTTGCAGAATAATTCAAAACCAAATACCACTGAGCTTACCTTCCCATGAAGGTTGATCAACAGTGTATAGGTGTCAGTAGAGGGCTGGCAGCCATCATTTTTCAATCGCTGAAAGATCTCAATTGCTCTTTGAGGGTTTCCAGCCTTCATTAACCCATCAATATAAGCATTGTATACAATTGCACCTGGCCAAAATTAGAGTATACGCTCACTTTTCACTCCTTGAATGTGCATGCAAGTGTATCAACAGAACAGCTTGAAAAATGAAAATCTGAGACGTGTAAATAAGAGAACGAAACACAAAAGCAGAACTAATGCCCTGTATTTGACCACCGCAAAAAGAAGAGAAATAACCCACGCATTCTCATAAAGGAAAGCTACAGAAGCAAGTTTGTTATCCAGGAGAGTCTAGCCTAATCCAGTTCCGGTCTCGCTAAATTAGCAAGGGGTCCCTCTTGGTTTAATCAACCAATCTCTAAGCATGGTGATGTAGATAAGGAGTAGTTATCACTACTATTATAGTAGCAACAAGAAATATGCAGACCATTAACCAATCTTCTCTTTTCCTACGTTTAGTATACTTCACCCCCGAAAAGAAAAAATAAACACAGCTCTGTGCAATTATTGAGCGAGGTTTCAAAACTTAAAACGAATTTAACCCCACAAAAAATCAATTTTTGAGGAAAAGAATCTTAAAAGTTGAGGAAATTTTTATTTATAAGAAATGGTTGATGTAGTCCAATAACTTCTTGAAAATACAATTCCCCTGAAAGCTAAGAAGAAATGAATTGGTAAACACATACTTGGAGGAAGGCTATACTTTCGCATATCAACAAAGGCAGCTTCAGCTTTTTCTAACAATCCAGTTGCACAGTAAGCCTTTATAAGAAGGGCATAAGTGTCTTCAGTAGGGATACACCTGGCATGAAGAAGATCAAGATATGTTTCTTCTGCCTTCTTGTACAAAGATTTTTGCCCATAAGCATCTATTAGTAAATTGTAGCACATGACATCTGTCTGGAAGAAGCTCTTGTACAATATCCATTGAACAATCGAGGATTCAGTCTTAATGTTTGAATAGAAAAATACTGTGCAAACATCCTGCCACAAAAATATGTGCTTGCAAGGTGGTTTAATCCATCGCCTACCACCCTACACGATGAAAGAAATAAGGCACGATTTACTCACCAATGCAATCGGATCCCATTGTTTATTCAAACGAAGTTGGACGGCTACATTAATAAGATCATCCCAAGTCTCGTGAGTGACAGGAAGAGTATCAAGAGCAGCCCAAACATTATTCGGATCCACTTCTTTCCGCACAAAGTTCAGAATCTGATGAGCAACAGGACTTAGCACCGGGAAAATCCCATCAACAAATCCTGATCCATATTTCCATCCTTGTCCCCTCAAAGAGCCACCTAGGTATAAATGATGACTTAATAATTGAAGCCATATGTGCTTGAGCAGTTATATGTATGAGCACAAAGTGAATTACTCCGTATTACATCGTTTCCTGGACATCTTTTTGTGATCAAAGATTCGCCATTTGCCATGTTTGTCGATATAGACCCTGTCGCTTTTCCACATTTTAACATCTCCAATACTGGAATTCTTTTCTCTGCGTCTGAAATGACCATTCCGGATTCTTGATTCTATAAAAATATGATTCAGTGTGCATCTAACAAGCAACCTGCAAACACTAATCAAGTAAACACACAATTGCCAGCAACAAACATACACACCTCTTAATTTAAAGCCATTACACAGAGGAAGCAACCAAATAAAATCCATATAAAGGATGCTTTAGACTTCAAAATAATTGGACAAAGAGAGACACTAAAACTACTTTTAATCACAATAGCAAACACATGAAATGCAAACCAGAAAACCTAGTTAAAAAAGAAGAAGAAAAGTTGTCAACTTTCCCTTTCTAAACCAAATATCTTCTCCCTTTCTTCCGCAATAATTCTTAACTGCTGTGAGTATAGGTTGTATTTTCATTACAGAATCAAATATTAGTCTAATCTATCTGATTAAACTACAAAAATCAAAATTTGCAAGATAAACAAGGCCACAACTGTTGAAGACTGGTTAGAGTTCAACAACGATAAGCATAGCACCCTGACAGCTAAAACTGGTCCATCATCTTATAACTTCTTAAGTCACGGTAAGACTTTTCAGATAATGATGATTGCTCGTTCAATATATATGAGAGCCAACAAAATGCTAAAATGTTTTAACTAATAAGAACACAAAACAATTTAGACATAATCTCTCAAGTGAACGTTGATACATAGCAATTCCGTTGAAACCCATTTCCCAGAACAAGAAATTCCATGAAAAAGCAATATTATCCAGCTAGAGGAGAAACACCAGAATTGAAGTTAATAAATACAGAAAATAACAAGGCAGCATGAACAGCATTAGCAGTGGCATTGCATAAGGAAAGAGAGGAAGGAAGGATACGACTTACATGAAAGCATAAAAGAGGAGTTTGGAGTTGGGTATCTGTAAACATCCAGAGAGCAAGAAGATATGTGAAGAGTGTTTCTTGGATAATGGACTACATGGGTGAAGACCAGCACTGCCAGACAAAAGCAGCTTCTGTTTTTTTCTGTTTACTAAGGGACAAGCCTCAAAATATCTCTAACGAACTTAAGGAGTCAAACAATAGCATTATTGTAGCCTCGTGGTGTCTGAGGTTGCATGGGATTCTATATTGAGACAGTAGCTTATAGCTAGAATAATCAATTCTAAAAATGTTCATTTTTAATAATAATAAAAAGAAGAAGATCAGATGTTAATTTGTTTAAACACAATGGACAAATTATTGTCATTATTATTAGTATAATTTAACAGCAAAAACTCCAGCATGAGACCCGTTGCAAAGACGAAGCTATGAAGTGCCACTTCAGTTGCTATTTACTAGCAGTAGTTTCCATGCTACAAAAGCGAAAACTGCTGTTAAAAGGGTTAAAAGGCTTATTGAGGTTGAGGTGATTTTTTTATTTTTTTTAAATTAATTTGTTTTATATTTTCAGACTTAATATTAATTTTTTAAAATAATAATAAAAATATCGTTTTAATATAATTCCAAGCAAAAACATATTTCAAGGGCGAACACTTCCATTCTCTTCATATAAACAGGGTTACGTCATGCATTTACATTTTTACAACAGTAGTTTTGGCTGCAATACTTTTGTGTGACTAGGATCAAATTGAAGAAATAGAGTGTAAGCTGAAAAAATTGAGGCAAGTACAAGGACCCAAAAATAAAGTAAGCATTTTAATTCGATATCTATATTCCATGGTCCGTCTCTTTCCCTCTTCGGAGCTCCATTGGAATTAAATGAGAATGGCCATATTACAGGTAAAGCATTGAAAGAAGTCTGTCAAACGTATCATACAGGAAATCATATTGATGCAAAACTTAGAAGCCATCTAAGATTGGAGAGAAGTCTTGTCATCTAAGATTGGAGAGAAGTCTTCTAACATTTCCACATCACAGTTCTACAAACATGGAATTAATGGAAACTTCGGCTAAAAGCAACTGATTCAAGCAAATTCCAGAGGAAAGTAACACAAGGATCTCGATTGGCGTCAATACTGGGAAGAACTCCACTTTAGACAAAAAATACAATGTCTATTCCACTTCAGCCAAATAATCATCAATTTCGGCTGGAGTTAGTACCCTGCAGGAAAGAAAGCACAAGGGATAAGATTGCCATGGTCATGCCACACATAAATTCTCCAAGGAAGCTTAAACATCCAAAGAAAGAGTGGATTGGCCATTTTGAACACGAGATCCATATGTAAATTGTCCGACAGAAGCTAGAGCAAGGGTGCGTGAAAATCACAACTTCAAAACTGAAACCACAAGTGGAAGGCCATATATGAAATTGGTGAGATCCAAAAGATTTTAGATATCAGATTTTATCTAGTTATGAACTGTGTTAACAAAAATGTGCATCCTGCAAGTTACTTCTGGAACTCATCCTAAGCTTGAAATTACGTGACACCAAGTTTAATAAGGAAAAAGGTCAAGAAAGAGCATGCCTGAATTGCTTGCCAGCACCAATTATCCCAATTTCAATGTTTTTCCCAGAAATCTGCCCTTCAAATCTGCAACACAAACAATCTTGTAAGCACTCAGAACTTGTAAGAAACTTTAAAATGCTCATTTATATCTCTCTTTGACCACTTTGCAAATACTAAGATTATGCTCACTAGTCCACCATCACTCTGATTATAGAAGCAAGACTCGACAAATTAACAACTTAAAATCACTAAGAGGAAAGAAAAGGAACCTTTAAGCACCTGCAAGTACATTTGATTGACACTGGGTTGAGAAACTTTCATTCATTTTCACTTAAACAGCATCTCACATAATTTAATCTCCTGAACTACTAACTAAAGTGTTGAGAGCCAATTTAAGTACTCAAGGCTGAAGACCCCAACTAGATACTGTTACCTAGAATTCATTTTACCTACGATACTCAGTATGTGTTGCAGAAAATCACAATACCTAAATGGCTGAATTTTCAAGTATATCAATCAATTATGTAATGAACCGGGTGCAAGTGCATGGCGCAAGTATTTTAAACCTACTGAATTTTTCTTCTACTTTTTATACACCAAACCTTGTAAAAAACACCACGGCTCAAATTCAAAAATAAAAAGTGGAGGAAATTTTAAAGTGATGTACCCCTCTTTTAGTGTCAAGATAATGGTGTGTACAGCATCATCAAGCTCCAGTGTATCTACAGAGCACATATTAAGTTAGGGGAAATAATAGTTGTTCAAATCAAATGAAGACATGTGGACAAAGGACCAAAATATTTACGATGTTTCTGTCCATTCAATTCTTTTTTTCTCACTTTCTTTTTTCTTTTTTCTTTCAAAAAAAAAACAGACAATCCAATTCTTCTTGGATGGGGAAAATGAAATACAATAAATTATATAAAGAACGAGGGGAGTAGCTCAAAGTAAGCTGGCAGTTGGAAATTGAAGGTACCTTGATCTTTGAATGAAGAATATGTTTGGCAGTTGATGGCTGGAGGTGGAAACACATTTGTTGCTAGCTAGGAGAACCCATGAAGATGTTTAGAAGTTTTTGCAGAATCAATGCATTTCATGGTACCAAAAACAAATAAATACCTCTTCTCAAGAAATGTTTTTGCATTTGAAACATTCTTCCCCATTGCTGAGGCTTTCCATGAGAAGTAGGAACCTGATGGATCGACCCAGCCAAACAAATACAAAACATAACATCATCAGAAGAACTATGATTTGAGTGCAAGAGTCTAACATATTTTTAAAAAGGCAACACAAGTGAGTCATATTCCATCCAAATCTCAACCAAGAAAACAAAAGGTTGAAAACTTATCAACCCTCTGGGCACACAGAAGGGTGCATGATAGTCACAAAGGCCTACAGCTTCTAGAATACTAGGCTAGCACATTGTCTGCAGTGGATAATCCAGATAAAAAAAAAATAGTTAATGACTTCAGACATTAACACAGTGACTAGCAAAGACACCTGGTACAGCTGTGGACCTTTGTCATCAAAACCAGCGACTAGCAAAGATACTCCAAAAGGCCTTACACCTCTGCGAGGAAAAACAAAGGAAGAGTATTTTTAAACCTCAAGAATAAGAGTATGAAGAGTTGACATGCTGATGCTGGAACATGGGGAGAGAGTTGTTGGCTTATTAGAATAAGGGCTACGGTTATGAACTTTGGAAATTAAAATTCAGATCTAAATTACAAAGGAAATCAATACCTACTTTGAATGTATAAAAGATGTTCCGGTACCCAGATTGAGTAAACTCTTGCATGACAGCAGCAGTTTCCCTCACAAGTTGTGTGAAAGGAATTGGTTCCTACAATCATACAAATTCACAAGTTACAACCTTCATGATTAACAACAAAAGATGACAATGAATTGATATAAAATAGTAATTGGATATTTATCTCTTGGATTTCAAGCAAAATTAAGCTGTTTTGGGGGTCAGAATGGCATTGTTGGGAATAAGACAACTAATAAGAAGTCTTGTAACATAGAAAACCTCAATACCTACTTTCCAGATATATTATCTTAACCAGGTTATCAAGCATGAGACAAATTATATACATGAGTTTGTTTAGAGGCATCAAAAGGATGCAAATATCCCATTCATAAGATAAGCCAAGAAAATTTAGCAACCTTATCACTTATCAGTGACATGAAAAGAAAAGCTGAAGAACGAATGTGAAGCAAAATAATAAAGAAAATCTTGAAGATGGGTACCTTGTACAGTCTATGATATTGCTCTGCTTGCTTCCTACTTTTCCGAACCAAACTCGAAAGTCAGGACCCATTCCACTGCAACAAAATACATGTGATTCAGCACTGTTAAGAAAAAAGTACAGCAAAGCAACCCATTTTGACATAGGTAATAAGTTGCACAAGTTAGTAAGAAGTGGCTCATTGAGCAACCAAATTGCCAAGATGTCTTATTTCAAACCCAAGTACAGAGGAATGCCTTATTTTTATTTTTATAAGGAACTACATATTTGTCCCCCTCTTTTTTTCAGTTGAAACAGAAACAGGGTACATGTACAACGTGTGGAAGTCAAGTCCATAACCAGACCAATTAAGAACATTGACCTAAAAGGAGTTCCACTGAAGTTCAGATTATAAGCAGGCATGCTTCTATCTCAACTTACCACCCCGGGTCAAATTTCACACTCATCAGGACACTATAAGAACAGCAGAAACTATACAATTTCCCACCAAACATAAAGAGAGCTTTGAATCTACACACCCGCCTGCTACAATCATTCATGACAGATATTTTAGCGATAGTTAAGGCCACAGAAACACAAGCTAAAAAATGGAACTTCCTAATTACTGAGAAGCAGGCAGAAACAAACCTGTAGACAACTCCAATATTGGGTGTCAGATTCTGTATTTTCTGAACCTGAAACAAGAAGCAATTAAATACCATCAACAACCAACTCCCGTTACATACCATCTTGCAAATTAGAATAATAGACCAATCAACTGGCTCCAAAATCAAACCATCTCCACCTCATTCAACACGATTTAAAATGACCAACACTGCCTTTTTATACAATGTGGGATTAAAGAGGATATAAATCTACACACTCCAACATTCAAAGTCCCAATCTTAGAGTCATTGACTATTATAGTAACGCCTCATTGGCAAGAACCCAAATCACTAAGCTCAAATTAGTAATAAAAATTACAAATTTACACCGAATTTGAACAGATTTCTACCAACCGATGTCACTGAAGAAAACACAAAAAAAAAAACGCAAAAAAACAAATGGGTTTCTTGAATTTCAACCAAAGAACATAACAAAACAAATAAAAAAATAATAAATGTTTACTTACAGAAGATTCAACGACTAAAATAGATGGCAATTTCTTCTCAGTTGCAATAACAACACCGTTTGCCGCTACAACACCAAAAAAATAATAAAATCAACATAGCATCGAAGCACCCATCAACGACACAGTACCTTCGAAAATGACAAGAAAATGAGAAGAAGAAGAAGAAGAAGATAGAGAGCTTAAATTGCAACAACCTTTGATTCTGAGAGAAGTTTGGCCTGATCCAACGGCAGCCAATGCGTGCTCAATCTGTACTAGCTTTCCGGTAGGTTGGTCCTCTTTACAATGGAGTACATTGGGCTTTTATGACGGCAGGTTGGTCCTCTTTACATTGGAGAAGGAGGTGTTTTCTTAGAAGGGCTTTTTAATTTATTTAATTACATGTATATATAGATTTTTTACTTTATTATATTTTTTGAACTAGAAAAATATATTTAAAGAACTGTATATATTTTAAAAAATAATTATGTCATCTTAGATTAATTATAGATACGAGAATATCATCGTCGATCAATTTTTTTAGAGCCGCATATGGAGAATTTAAGTAAGGAATAAGCTTCACGTGAGCCAGAGATAATATCATCTTAGATTAATTTTTTAATATGTAAAATTTAATAATTAAATAAAAAAATTACCTCTTCCAGTCGGTCTTAACTATTTTTTAAATATAAACATATAAATTACATATATATATTTTTTTTATTTACATGGGATATCTGAACCAGCTTACGCGCACCACAACTAATCCTCACAGCTCATTGAACATTCTGTAAGAACATCCTGCAAACATTCTGCAAATCCAGTAAGCAAGTAAGGCACCACGGAAGTGACAGGCATGCATGGTGAAGTTTGAATCCAGATACAAAAAAAAAAAAGATAAACTGCTTCCATCACTGGATCAGAACCTCACTTATATATTATTTTATATATGTTGAGAGAGAGAGAGGATGTGAGGGTAAATTGCAAGGAGGAAATAAAATCCAATTACAGTAAAGAGGTCACTTAGAGTAAATAGTAAGGCTTACATATAATTAATACACTCAAAGCAAATAATAATAATAATAATACACTCAAAGCAGGTTCTAACGAAAATAAATGTTTGGGATGTGAGAAATCTTTTGCCAATCTTCACCCATCTCCTCCTCCTTCCCATAGCGTTTCCTTAGATTGGGGCAACTCCTTATGTGTAATTCCTGTAGAGGCGCTGCCAAAACATAGTCTGGTACTGCTCTCAGCAACGGGCAATTACGAATTGTCAACCATCGAAGTTGTGGCATAATGGATATTATTGAAGTTGTGTTGGCATCTTCTTCTCCCACTCTCCTTTCAATCCCATCCCACTCTTCTACTTCTCTGAGATTCCGAATCTCAAGTTGTTTTAATTTGGGGAAAGCAGTGACCCTTGCAATTTCTCCTTCATTAATACTGGCATTCTCATCTTTTTCTATACCTAAAAATCCAGCATCCAGCCTTCTCACCTTCAACGACCTCAATACCAGGCATTCAAGGTTGGGCAATCTACCCATCGGAGGCAAGACCTCCACGTTTGTACAAAGACCGAGTGTAAGCACCTGTAATCTAGTTAATGTCATCATCCAATTTGGCAATTCCAACCCTCCGTACCCATATATGGTTAGATTTTCCAAGTCTGACGGAGGCCGTAAAGCTTCAATTAAAGAGCCTTCATTCGCTTGCAACTCTGTTCTCTCTCCGTCAAAAGCCAATACCAAACAAAGCAGGCGCTTCTTATTCTTGAGTTGTGCTTCTTCAGCGTCACTCGCATCTTCTTTAGGTGTCTCAAATGTATCAATTTCCCTACCTCTTCTGGTATTTCTTTGATTAAAGACCCTGACAAATTCAATGACCTGATGCATGTCAACTGCTTGAACAAATCAGGCAGTGCAGCTCCAAGCGAAGGGTCTCTAGTGTCGATCAAGAGGCTGCGAAGACCTTTTGCTTTGTGAATGGACACGGGAAAAGAGGTCTCCTCTGACAGCATCATGCTTAAATGACGAACCCTTTCAATTGAAGTCTCCACTGTTGCTTCTGCAAGTGTATTGACATCCACTGTTAGACATTCATTTTTTGTCATATATTGGGCAAAATCATGCACTATATCATGCATCTTGAATTTCATTCCTTCAAACCAATGCGTCTCAAAATCTTGGAAGAAAGAGCGCGCTGCTAAGACTTGAAAGTACTGCTCTCCTACAAGCTCCATATCTCCACCTGAAGTCTCCTTGAGGTAACCTTGAGCCATCCACATCTTCACCAATTCATCTTTTCCCATCTTGTAGTCTTTTGGAAACATGGCACAATACAAGAAACATTGTCTTACCACAGAAGGTAAATCGTAGTAACTCAAAAGCAAAGGTATAAATATTCCTCTTTCAACCTCAAGTCTATCAACCTCATCTAGCCCCCACAGTTCGCTAGATAAAACACGTTCCCACTCTTCTCTTGTTCTTTTAAACTGCATTAGACCTCCTAGTACCTTGGCAGCTAGCGGCAAGCCCTTGCACTTGTTAGCAATTTTATCACCGATATCTGTCAATCTTTCGCGCTCATCTTTGCTTCTTTTCTGGAATGCCACATGATTGAATACTGACATGCATATCTCCTCAGACAATTTCTCAACATTGATCTGGTGGTCAGTTCCCATAATCGTTGCCACAGTGCCCTTACGAGTGGTCACTAGAATTCTGCTTCATCGTGCACAGCCTGTGAGAGATGGTTTCAGTTTTTCCCATTGTCCACGATTTTCTGTCCATACATCATCAAGGACAAGAAGGAACCTCTTTCCCTTAATGGATTCAGAAACCCCTTGCAAAAGGGATTGCAATTCAACCAGATTCGTTGGTCTGCCTTCAAGCTGCTCAAGGATAGCTTTGGCTATTCTAACCTCATCAAATGGATCTGAAACACACACCCATATCTTTTTCTCAAAATGATCCGTAACCTCAGCATCATTAAAAGCTAGTTGGGCGAGAGTAGTTTTTCCAATTCCGCCCAGCCCTACTAGAGAGATGACATCCACGTCCCGTGCTTCTTGACTACTTTCAGCCACCAACTTGCTCACAACATTTCCCTTTTCACCATCTCGACCAATCACGCTTGATTCATCAACAAAGGAGGTAGTTGTTAGTCGCTGGAGTTCATCAGTGGCTCTGTACAGATCAAAGCCATACTTAGCTCTCTCTTTGGCAATGTCATCCACTTTTTCACTAACTTCTTTGATCTTCAGGGCAATGTCACGACGTCGAACCACTTGATTGAAACAAAAGCAAGGAGATCCCAGGAATGAACACCGTATCTTCTGTCGGCTGGGAGTATTTTCTTCAGCTTCCTCCATTTTCCATCTAAGAATTGCAGTGCTCCATTCATCTAGCACGTCATCCATATCATAACACGCATCTTTGAGCTTGTCTACCCAATCTCTTACAGCCTTATCCTTAACTTGTTTTCTATCTGCATCTTCAAGGACAGATTGGATATCAAGGAGATTGCTTTTCAGCTTGTCACATTGTTTCTTCACACCCACTACCAGGTTCACCTCTTCTTGTACCTATTAGTGTACAAAGGAAAAGAAACGTTAAGCATCGGAAACATTTCTATGCCAATTTCACACCCCCTACTAGGTTCACCTCTTCCAGTACCTATTAGTGTAGACAAGACAAGGAAGTTCAAGCAAAGGAAACATTTCTATTTTGTATTAATATATTTTATAGTGAAATGCATTTACTATATTAATAATTTATATATAAAAATATTTATTAGAAATAATAATTTTTCTTTTTTCTTTTTATCATCATGATGATGATATCAGTCTGCACTATGCTACTGTATAAGAAGGTATAAAATGAATCTTAAATGGTAAAACGTTAAACCTGTACGTGTGTGGGTATGGAAAGAGTTCAATGTTCTCACGAGAGAAGGATTTCTCCTTTGAACCTACATAAAATCTGGTTTTTATTTTACATTAAACTATAGATATTTTTCCTTCTATATATAAATACTCGCTCACTAATCCTTTGAACTTTTTTATTAATTATTTTACCCTTAAATAGTTCAGTTTAAAGAGAATTGGCTACTCTTGTTTTGCCTTTTTCGGTTTTCCTATATTTGGAATGATATATTTTCTTTATGTTATTTTTGGAATTATGAAAAATAATAAAACAAGAAACAGAAGATTCTTAAGTAAAATCGAAATATATACTTCATGATTTAAAATATTATTTTTATTTAATCAAGTTAAAAGTGTTCTTTTTATGAGAGGAAGAGAAAAGGCTTGAACTTTATATATATTTCTTATCTCTGATAGGTAAATCAGGTTATTGCAGATGGTAGAAAAATACCTGTTGAACAAAGATCGTGGTTAACTGCTCCAAGATCGGAGATACAAGTGCCTCAGCCATCGTCTTTCTAGTTCTGATTGGAAAGTGAGCGAGAGAGAGAGAGAAGCAATGATGATGGGAGTTAGTTTATATATACTTAGGGTTTGGCGTTGCAGGTGGAGTTCTTACAACTTGTAGGTTTTTTACTAGTGAAGCTTGTATTTTAGTGTCTCAACATTTTTTTTATTAGTTTTTGTAGTGTTTCAAAATTTAATTTTTTTTTTAAAATATTGTTGAAATGCAACATCAAACACAGTAGAAATCATATAACAACAAGGCATGTCCTAGCAAATAAAACTCTCTAGTATCGATGCAGATGAACCTGCCTTTACGTATTGTTGATAATTCTGCTGCGGGTTTAAAATATTTAGCGACGCTAAAAAGTGTCCTTAAATATATTTTGAAGAGCCATTACATTTTGTTTTCTGTTTTTTTTTTTTGTACTGCGACGATAGTGAAATATATGATGTTAATTTTAGCAGCGAAGAGATAAAATATAATTTTTTTCATATGTTCTTTGATTATTCTACAAAACAATATAACTTTTTTGTTCTATTTTCTTTATTGAAAAGAAATAAAAAAAACAATGCTTTGAAATTAAAATAAAACAGATATCCATCAAATTGAAACTATTTTTTATCTTATTAATACATTCCTCGTTTTTTTTTCAAAAAAAATACTTTTTTAGATGATATTTTATAAAAATTATAACATTAATCCCTAAAAATTAAAGATTTCATAGCATAGCACTAGCATTAATATATATATATATATAAATAATCTTGACTTTTATCAATAAAAAAAATTTAACAAGAATATTGTCATCTTCAATCTTTAAAATAGGAGATTTAATTAATTTTTTAATTTTTTATTTGATTTACATTAATCCCTAAAGACCTAAAAACAGTAGATTTTATAATTTCTTGAATTTTAATAAAACATTGATGTTAATCCCTGACGATTTGAAGTTTCACCACTTTTTTAAATTTAATGAAATCTTTGACATTATCCCAAAATAGGATATTTCACCATTTTTTTGAATTTTAACAAAAATTTTGAACTCTTTATTCTTGATGATATTAGTTTTCTTGATAATTTGTTTTAATACTCAATTAACCATGACAATAGATATGAATGCTATTAATTTTCTTCCTGTTATAGAGTAGATACCGTGCTTTTATGTCTTCTTTATTTTATCTTCTCTGTTTCTGCTTTTTTTTTATTAGGCTATTCTCATTTTAGCCAAAATTTTTAATAAAATCTCCACTATTGTCTAAAAAAAGAGTTGCTTGGTGACTTTGATGAGATCTCTTTTCCTTACCAGTGGAATAGTGGTATGTCGCAAGTCATTTCAAGCTGGTGATTCAAAATAAGGCTATAATTCATTTAAGGTATTGGTCCGGGGATGGGAGGAAATTATTTCTTTTTTTTGCATTTAAGTTTAAATTTTATTATGCATGCCTATTATTTTTATGATGTCTTACATACTTATTAAATTTATGATATCTTACATACTTATTAAATTTTTAAGATGTTTAATAAATTATAAAATTAATTATAATATACAAAAACTAATCCAGACACACGTACATAAATAAAAAGATATATATAATTAATTACATCAAGTAATCGACCGAGTTGGCCGAGTTATCAATAGCGTGTGCATCTCTGTGGAGGAAGACAACGGTTCAGATTCTCGATTCAAGTTGTTCCAATTACCATAATGCCCTCCTTTTTGCTGAATCAGATACCATAACAAGGGTGTGATAGTCATCCGGTGTCTATTTAGGAGACAAAGCAGTGTCAACTTTTCTCCCTTTTCCCCCTTTTCAGGCCTAAGCTCTTCGCAGCATATTCGTTTGCTTATATAAATGGCATGGCCTGGTGGTGGCGGAGAAGAGACTATGGGGCTTTCATGACGGTTGGTTGGGCCTCTTCACATTGGGCTGAATGAAAGCTTTGAACCACTTTAAAAAATTTCTTTAAATACTAACTTTTTGAATAAAATATAATTAAAAAAATCAGATTTTTTTACTGTTTACATGTTCATGTAGAGTAAATTAATTCATTCTACACTGTTTTACTTAACAAAAGTAAACAGTACCAGCAAAGCACGGACAAGATGCTTCTCCTGAAAATGTATTTTTACTTTTTTTTATGGATCCTACAATAACTGTATAGACAAACACACTCGAAAAGGGATCAAAGTTTAGAAGTTTAATTATTTTTTTAAAAAGAAAATAATAGTATTTTTATTAAATTATTTATTTAAAAAAACCCTAAGTCTACAAGGGACGTATAAAGTTTTTTTATTTAAAATATATTAAAATAATAATATTTTTTATTTTTTATTTTTCATATTAATACATTAAAATTATAAAAACAAGTAATATAATTATCATTTTTAAAAAGAAAATTAATTTAAAAATTCTAAACAACAAAAAAAAATTTTTTTAGTATGAATACAACGTCCTCTCTCATTTGAAACTCAAGATAAGAAATTGTGGTAGCAATGGTGATTTAAAATGTTTTGTTTGGAAATACATTAAAATAAATTTTTTATTTTTTAAAAATATTTTTGATATCAGTATATTAAAAAAATTTAAAATTAATAAAATAAAATTTATTTTAAATAAAAAAACTCAAAATTTTTAGAAACTCGATTTATACTACCTTAAATTTAAGCGTGTAAGGTCGTTGAAATCGTTGAAGAAGACACTATTAGAGAACAAGGAAAAGAAGAAGATCACGAAAATGTAAGACAAAAAAAAAACATGGAAGAATAAGAAACGAAAAGTCCCTCAATTTTTACTTCTGGGTATTACATGGATCATGTAACTAGGTCCATTATAAGGTATTTGAATAAAAAATTGATAGGATATTAGGATGTTTTTTTTTATTATTATTATTACGATGGTTTTAGTTGAGGATTAATGTGGAGGATTATAAGTTTGGCAGTGAAGATATTCTTGTTGATGAGGAAATTAACAGAAAACTTTTAAGATTATTGAAGATGCTTCGTTGTTAAAGATAAGTAAAAAGTTGTAATCTTTAAGAGAAGGGTGGGGTGATTGGCTTCATAAATAGTGATTTTGTTTTCTTGAACCCGCATCCTTTGCTGCGAGACCCGTGGTTTACTAGAGGTGATAAGGCTATGTATAAAACCCATATTTTCACTCCAGTTTGGTTTCAGTGGTGACAGACATGTTTTCACTATATTGAACCGGTTCACCTTGCTGCTCTCTACGAGTAATTAGCTCGCTTCTCGAAAATATCTCCCCCTTCTGGAATGTCAATCATATGTATGACTAGAATGACACAACATCTTGCTGGTTCCTGCGTGAATCTCATATAGGACATGGTACCATCACATTGAGGTGTTTAAAATAAATCTCATAATCTAGTAATTTTGATGCTGGCTCTTGAACTAGAAACCATGTATTAGTTAATACCCTCTTCGCTCGAGTTGAGAAGAATTTTTATTTTATATTCCTGATGATCATCGTTAAACTATGTAATGTAGTGATTCAATCGCGCCATTTCTTATGTTTAGAATCTATGTTTTTGGTAACTTGTTTCTTTTTTTTTTTTTCTTGTTGGGTTGTTCAGGTGCTATCTATCTTGATTCTGATATCATAGTTTTGAATTCATGGTCTTCACTTAATAACACGGTTGGTGTGGAGAATTCTACTGAAAGATTATCGCATTCTACTGAAATTCCTGAAATTGATTATAGCATTCTACTGAAATCCCTGCTTCTCATCTGTTTCTCTATTTCTTCTCTTCATTTAATGTTTATCTGGTATCAGTAGCATGTGCTGGTCATGGAAAAAAGTTTGGAAGGATTGCTGGTTTGTATGATTGGAGCTCCTTTAAATGGGAGGTTTGTCTGTGAAAGAGAGCAAATGGGTGCGAAAAGGACAAGAAATGAGCAAGATTTTCTGGAGGAAAGTATTCGTATTGTCTGGACTACATCACCTTCCTTTCTTCTTCATGTTAATGAGCAAGAAATGTGCATCATCAGTTATTATTTTCCGGTTGTATTTTAGTCCTTCATGTTAATGATTTCCTCGAATTAATCCAACTCTTTTCTTCTAGTGTGAACGTGACAGATCATACCAGAACCTAAACTCTTTCCAAGGTTTTTTAAGAGAGAATCTAACCCCAAGTACCAACCAATGGGTATAAGAAAAGATGTGTTTCACTATCCAACTGTATTTTGTTTCCATGTTTACCTGCAATCAGCAACCAGATAAACCAAAATCACTCTAAAAAAGGTAAAAGAATTCTTTTTTTAAAAAATCAGGTCAGGGATATGTAATGAGAATTGTTGAATTAACACAATTTTGATAAGAAGGCTCTAATAAGAGACAGAAAATATTGCATATGGCACTGTCTACCAGCAACAAAATTAATGCATATTGTTTTTAACGTATGTGTCATAACATTTCCTTGACATCATAGTGGAATCAGTTAAAAACTTGGCTCGGCGAGATGTGGGATGAGCTAGCTTCACATATGCTTATGCAATTGCGAAATACCAAATGGAAACTTTTCAAGCTCGTATCCTATGGACACCATACATATATTTACGCCACAAGCAAAAGACAAAGGATTTCAGCCTAGCAATTAACTCAAAATCCAATCCGAGATTCGATGTTAACACAATGAAAAAGCCTCAAACACTACTTGTAAAGCAAGTTTTAGCATGAGAACCACCCTACATCCGCACAAAATCCAGTTTAACAAATCAAGAAATCTGTAAACCTTAACACTCAACATTAAAACATCGAGTCTAACAAATACAAAACCTGAAATAAGACCAGTACCTGGGACAAACCATGGTGAAGCACCATATCATATATAAAAGGATTAAAATTCGACACATTGTAATCGCAATCAAACTCCTTGCAAATTCGAAACCTCCAAATCATCCTTGACAATAAACGAAAACTCATGATATGAACTTGGCCACCAAGCTTCTAGCCCTTGAGTATATTATGTTGAATTTCTTAAAAATATAAATTTTTAATATTAAATTTAAAGCTAAAACATGTGACTTTTTTACCATACATTAAATT